AAAAAATGGGGGTGGGTCTGATATCTGGAGGGACCTTGTAAACGGCAGTTTTTATATCTAATACCGATACTGATTCGTTTGCATGTTGGTTAATGCCGCGATTTTCGGAGCATTTGGAGTAGTTTAATTGCACTTAACAAAGTTGATTGACTGCTCTGCACTTGGTGCACCTCTTTTGATATCGCAAAATTTTACTAGTTACATGTCAATCATGTAGCTGGTGTGTGGCTTATTTACAATAGCATAACTAAGCAATAGTAAAAACTTCTTAACTTTTGATTAATATTTATGAAATAATCTACTTGTCGCCGGCGGTGACAGTACCGGATTTTATTTAAAGCTATATTTAGAGTCAGAAAGGGTCATAATATATAGTAAAATTATGCAAGGAATATTTTTTGTTAAGACACGGAAGTTGGTTTCATAGGCATAATTTTGAGTTATTTTGGTTTGAAAGTTCTGAGGGTTTTGAATCGTGCAATCTGATTGGCCTGGGTCTGTCACCGCCGGCGACAAATAGATTCGCCCAATATTTATATACAGTGCTGTTTAACAAAAAAGAAAACTGAAATCGGATGATGCTGAAATTTGGGGTCTTAATTTGGAAATATAACCCCTACTAAAATCCACCTATACTCTTTTATTATAAACATTACCCCTAAATTCTAATCGAACTATAAAAAAAAAGACCTCAAAAAATTTTTAAATTAATAAAAAAGTTAAAATTTTAACATCATCCGATTTCAGCATCATCCCGACATTTAACACGACATAAATACTATATAAATAATTTTAGCAAGATTTAAATATTCAACTGTCCTATTTTATTTGTTCGTTCATCAACTTCAACAAATCTAAACAGGTAATAGAAATAAATGATTAATAATTAAACAGTATAAACCATAGAAGACTAATTTATACATCGCACATGTGATGTTGTCACATCTACATAGATAAAGTGTAACGTAAATTAAAACAAGAAAAGCCATAATATAAGTTATAATAAAAAATTTTTTCTAAAATATTACCGTAAACTGCCGTATACAAGATTCCCCCAATATCAGATCCACCACGTACTAGATCCGGGTGTGAATCTCGAAATCTACAATAACCAAATATAGTTCTTTTTTTAAATGTCTAGGCTGCCCATCATAAATGAACAATATACATATCTTTTAAATTTTTTCCTCTAATAGTACAAACTATCCACCATGTATTAGACCCGGAGTCTAATATAGGTTTAAATATTGGAGAATGTGAGAGACCCAGGTCTTTTATACGATAGTTTACGGTATTTTGTTTAACCAATTAGATAAAGCCATTCCTTTTAAGTGTTTTTTTTTTCGATTACAAGGATTTCGTACGTAAAATTTTGACTTAACAGTTTTTGAAGCATTGCATTTGTTTTATTTCACGTTACACCCATCAAAAATTCTCGACATATAAAGTCACTCGAAAAAAAAAATAATAATAATAAAATAAGCAAAACTACGTACCTTCAGGTTTAAAGGTATATTTTTGAGTTACATATCTTTTATCTATTTAAAATTATAAAGCAAATGTGCAATATTTTTATATATAACTTTCAAAAAAAGTAAATAAATGTGCCTTTTCTCTTTTAAGACCTCTACCTCGAGGTTCTTCATTTTCTTCATCTACAGATTCACTTTGTTCTTCTTCCTCATCTGAATCTTCGTATTCATCATTAATGTCCCAAAGTCAAATAATTGTTGACTTGTAGTTGAAGACGCACGTTTCTTCTTCTCACGCCCTTTAACGGGATGTTCTACTGCTTCTGTGGCTTCATGTATCAATGAATTTAATAAATCGCGCATCTTGTTAAATGAGGGGTCATTATTTTCAAGTTCATCATCACTTCCCTCTTCTATTTTGGAAAATATTCAGGTGTCAGAAGATAAGTTTATATTTAGACGATGTGCATCAGAAAGTGTGCAAAAATCTGCAATACTCCTATCAAATTCCAACATTCCTTGTTCAAACCTTTCTTCGTGTACGCTCTTTTGTCGCTTATGTGCCTTTTCTCTTTTATGACATCTACCTCGAGGCTCTTCATTTTCTTCATCTACAGGTTCACTTGATTCTTCTTCTTCTTCATCATCTGAATCTTCGTATTCGTATTCATCATCATCTAATTCTTCAAGCATATCATTAATGTCCCCAAAGTCAAATGATTGTTGACTTGTAGTTGAAGGTGCACGTTTCTTCTTCTCACGCCCTTTAACGGGAGGTTCTACTGCCTCTGTGGCTTCATGTATCAATGAATTTAATAAATCGCGCATCTTGTTAAATGAGGGATCATTATTTTCAAGTTCATCATCACTTCCCTCTTCTATTTTTGGAAATATTCAGATGTCGGAAGAAAGTTTATATTTAGACGATGATCTAGATAACGAGATGGGGCATTGGATGGTGATACTGGTCTAGAAAATGATAGTACTCGAGAAGTTTTAGATAGATTACCCGATTCAATGCTGTCATCTTCTTTTTGAATAGATACTGTTTCTTTACGTTTAACAAGTGTTATATCTGAATCATTACTTTTTTCAAGTTCAGCTGTTCTTTTAAATTCCTTTTGATGATAAATTTGGTTAACAATTAGAACACTAAATGTCAGGATCTCTTGGAATCTCTTGCAATATAGATGACACCTTTAATAAAATATACTGTATTTTAGTACACGTATTAATCAATTGATTATAAAGTAAAGTCACCTATACAGCAAGAAATCAAAATAATATTTTAATTAAATATTATAAGGTCATTCATACTTGATCGTTTGTACTTAATTCTTCATATTGGATTGGATTTAATTCACATGCTTTAGTTTGAAAATCTATAAAGTAATATTTGATTCTTTAAAAATTCTTATTTTTTAGTATGATTATAGATGTAGCTATATAATTAAAATCCGAATTTACCAATGTCTGATAAGGATAAATTTCTTAATCCAGAATCTATTTGTGCGATGATTTTTAGAAAATAAATTAATTTGACTAATAATAATATGAATGATGGAAAGAAAAACCTGTAATTGATTGACTATCATTCACCTTATCGAATTCAGCCCTCGCAAAATTGATCCCCAATGATTAAATGTGTGATCAAATACGTGTAAAGTTTTAAGATGTACCTTTGTCATCAAGTGGAAACACATTTTTGTTTCATGAAGAAATTATATGATCTAGTAGATAGTAAAATAATAATAATAATAATCATAATAATAATAAATGTTGAACTAATCAAATTATTCAGGGCCGAACTTGCTAAAGTGAAAGTGAATCAATTTGCAGGTTTTCCCTTTCTATTACACTTATATCATAATTGACTTTGAGTAACAACAAATGCAAAAAAAAATGGGATTTTATGTTAATTATTCTATTAAAATTACCTAAATGATATATATAGATCTTGGCATAACTGGCTGGACTAATTGTTCAATATTACCTAAATAATGAATGGATGATTGTTCTTCCATATCCTTGATCATATTTTCATAATCCTTTATCAATTGCGACAAACCTGGTCTATTTAATGGATCATCATCCCAACACTGTTTCATTATATCTTGATAAATTTCTGGGGTCCCCTCTACGATTTTTGGACGATGTTTGTTAATAATTTCTATGGCTAAAAATCCATCATGAGATCGATCTGAGAATGGACGATCAAGAGATGTTAACTCCCACATAATTATCCCTAAACTATAGATGTCAGACTTTTTTGTATATGGTTTTCCAGTGAGAACTTCTGGTGCAATATAAGGCAAAACACCTTTGATAGGCTCTATAAAGAGTAATTTTAATTAATACCTGATAGTAGATCTGCGGAGCCTGAAGGTCCAAGATCGTTAATAAACATTGAAAGCCCAAAATCACTAATGAAAATCCTTGCATTGTCATCGACAAGGATATTTCCACAATGAAAATCTCGATGTTACAATATTTAGATTGTGAAGTTCATTTAAAGATTTTGCAATGTTTTTGAAGAATTTCGATTCTCTTTATCCATGAGAGTTTAGAATTATTAGTGAGAAATTTCCTAAGATCACCATGAATTGTATATTTCATTATCATAGCATATTCTTGCATTCTTGGAAACATTGTTAAACCATAAAACGGCACAGCGCATTTTCCAAGACATTGGTAGTGTATTTTGAACTAGGATTTAAAAATGAGTAAAATTTACTATTGCATATTTAATAATGTACAGTATAATTAAATTATTAAATATTCATAGTTACTTCATTGAGAAATTTGAGGTCAAAATTTTCAGATCCCTTCAAAACTTTAAGGACAATATCAATGTTTGATAATTCCTTTTTATCATCCTGTTTTAATGGTTCCCATTTGCCAATAAATACTTATGACACTAGTCAAAATATAAAAAATCGGGTATCTGCCTTATTTTGAACTGAAATATACCCGATTTTGTTATCAATTTGTGTATTCGTCATAGCCCCGATTGATGCAAATTAACGCAGTAACCTGATTTGTATAAAATTGTCAAATAGTAAATCCTGATTTATGTTGATTGTTGGTGCAAATCGGCATAGAATCGAATAAAGATAATATCTGCCTGATTTTATTATATTGCTCGATTTAAATAGATTCGCTAGCGGTACTATTTGTAATTATATAT